GCATGCAGGAGCCCTGGGTCATATTCCCGATGCTACCACAGACCTGCTGTCAGACTCTGCTCTCTCTAGGCAACCCCAGAGTGCAAAATTCCCCAGGGCAGGGACTATCTCACCCCGTATGTCTCTGCTGAAGCAGCCAGAAATAACACTTAAGAAAGGTTGGGAAACACTGAGATTATAATCATGGGCGACTGGTGCCACCTTAGTCGGGGGGGGCCCTTGCTCCCCCAGCGACCAGTCAACAACCGGGGGGGCGTGTCTTGCTGACTGGGGGATTTCCCCTGCATTGATTGTATTCCAGGTCCTCATAGCTCCTATCGGTGACTGCATTTTATACACATCATAGCCACCAAATGACTGCCTACATTTCTGAGGCTGCAGGATGCGTGTGCAGTGTGCTGGTTCTGCAGTTGCTGGTTAGGATTTAGGAGTGTACAAAAGGACCTGTGGGATATAGTGTACTGGAAGTGGATTGCCAATCAAGAATATGTTGCAGAAAGAAGGCTAATAGAGTATGGGGATATATTAACAAGAGAGTCACCTGCAATCAAGGGAAGTGATTTTTCCACTCTATGCAGCAGTGGTGAAGCCTCGCCATAAGTAGGGTCTAATGTTGTGGAAAGATGTGGAAAATTCGGTAAGAGTCCAGCAGAAAGCAACAAAAATAATCACACGTCTAGAGAACAAGACTTGCAAGGAAAGGTTGGAGGAACTGGAATTATATTTAATTTTGAGAAAAGGGATTTCCTAACTCAGAGTCTCTGTTCAGGTTGCACCGAGTCCACTGGACTGTTGGTAAAGGTTGTGGGGCTCTGTGTGTGTGTGTGTGTGTGTGTGTGTGCGTGTGTGTGAGTGATTTTCCCCCCTGCTCTGTTACAACAACTGGAGGCAGGTGCAGATTGTACAATTTTGGCTTTCTCATATCTTTTTGTGAGAGGCAGAAAGATTGGACCATCACAGCTACAACATCATTTCCATCTTGTTAGCGTTGTTATTAATGTCCTATACTTGGGACTTTTCCAAACTGTTTATACTCATGGCACAGATTTTTCCCTTACAACTATTTTTTTCTGTTTGCAGCAGCAGGCATGTCTATGAGCATTTCAGGTTTTTTCAAATCGTTTCCTCTTTTCCTTTATGGCTGGGGACACATGTCAGCAGTGCAATCTGCCTTGTCCTTTTTATTATCTTAAGGTGGTCTTTTTAAATTTTCTGGGCCTTTTTTCTCCCTCTAGCTTTAGGGGAGTGATCTTTTACTCTTTCACAGGTACAGTCCCTCAGTGGTAACTGCATTTTCAGCTCTTCAGCAGGGTTGGAGTGTTGTAGTGGTGATGGGCCAGGAAATGGGAGAAAAAAGGGGAGTTTTTAGTACTTTGATTGGACCGACTGTATAGTGGGGAGACATGTTAGACAACCTTTCAAGGAAAAACTGCCCATTGTGTTTCCATAGTGTGAGAGCACTGTAGCCGTGATGGTCCAGAAATAACACTTAAGAAAGGGCATTTAACTCCAGCTTCAAAACCACAAGTAACAAGTAGCCAGCAGACAGAGGGAGCCTGTCTGGATAGCAGGTTTGTGCGTGCACACCAGCTGCAAAGAGCAATGACTGGAAACATAAAAGGCAGAAGCAAGCATTTCTTACGGTGATATCAGACCAACTGTGCAGCTGGGATCAAGTTATAGACTCCAACGAAAGTAAGCGCTGCCCCTCCTTCCACTCAGCTGTAAGTGTCTCGTTTAGTTTAGTTGCTGCATTTCCTGATATTTGGAGGAGGGCACCTCAGCCAGTCCCCACTCCCCTTTGCTCCCTGCTCCATCCCTGGGGGGGGGCACCTTGGTGCATTGTGGGATGGACAGGAGGCTGGGAGGAGGCTGGAAGCTCTGGTAAGAGGGAGGTTGGGTGGGATGCAATGCCCCCCCCCCAGGTAAGTGCATGGCCAGAGGCTGGCAGGGAATGGGTTAAGGAGAGGGGGTTTTACACACACACACACACACACACAGCTTGGGGCTTGTGTCTGCAAGAAAATGAGGGTCGGGAGTGATCTCAGGAGGTCACATTTAGTCCAACTCCCTGGTCTAAGCAAGCAGGTCTGAGAACCTGTGTGTCTGTGTGTGCCTGTGTGTGTGCCTGCGTGAGGCTGTGCCTGTTTGTGCACCTGTATCTGTGTGGTTGTGTCTACATGAGACACTTACTGCACAGTAGCTCAGTGTTTCTCAACCTTTTCCATCCCACAGCACACCAGACGCAGAGCGGGAGGTGGTGGTGAGCGGTTGAATGTGGAGCAGTGTAGGGCTATCGGTGTGGGGCCAGCTGGGACACAGTGGCGGCCGTGATGGTGGTGGCAGCGGGGCAGCAGTGGCGGTACTGGCTGTAGCCACGCCCCCCCAAGATTTCACGGCACACCTGGACGTGGCTGACAGCACACCAGCGTGCTGCGACACACTGGTTGGGAAATGCTGCAGTAGTTCATTGGTACTGCGCAGTAGCATCACTGAGCATGAACTGTGATGCAATGCTACTGCGCAATAATAACAAGCTACTGTGCAATAAAAGTCACTAGGCAACCGTGCGGGGACAGTCCTGCGCTGTAACGCCAGTTACTGCACAGTCATTTGTACTTGGTTATGTAAGTACTAAATGACTGTGCAGCAATGACGGCGCAGTAACAACTGCAGTCAGCATCTGGTGTAGACACGGCCTGTGTGTACCTTTGTGTGCCTGTTTGTATGAGCCTGGCTGTCTGTGTGCCCGTGCCTGCACCTGTCCCTGTCTGTGAGTCTGTCTGCGTGAGCCTGTCTGCATGTGCCTGTGTCTCTGTATGGGCCTGTCTGCGTGAGCCTACCTGGTTTGGTGTGTGTGGGGGGGGCGCCCACATGAAGCCCCTCCATACCACTCAGCATCCTTGTTGCCCTTCTCTGGACCTTCTCTAGTTCTTGATCCTGGCTGAGGTGCGGACACCAGACCTGTGCACAGGCTCCCAGCTGCTGTGTTGCAGGGGCAGCGCTGCTGGGCTCTGCGGCACGTGCTCCCTGGTGCCAGCTGGGGGAATGGGGTGGGGGTCTGTGTTGCCCCCAGCCTGGCCAGGCTCTGCCCCTGATTTGCTGCTGTTGCTCGTTCTGCCCTGGAGCTGCCTCTCCCTGCAGCTCTCCCCTCGAGGGAGCTGCAGTCAGACACGCTGGCTTCCACTAAGTCGAGCCAGTTGCTTCTGTTCTCCCTGCCCCTGGTGCCTCCCAGGCCTGGTGGGGGGAGGAGCAGGAGGGCTGCAGGTCTGGAGTGAGGGGCATCGGCAGGGCTGGGGGGGCAAGGCAGGGGTCTGCAGGTCGGAAGTGAGGGGCACCTGGAGGAGGAAGGAGCTGCAGGTGAGAACTGAGGCCCCCGCAGGGCTGGGAGGGCAGGGGCTGTGCATTGGGAGTGAGGGTCTCCTGCGGGGAAAGGGGCTGTGGGCAGGGGGTGAGGGGCACTGGCAAGTTTTCGGGGGGGCAAGGGGGCTGTGGGGTGGGTGCGAGAGACAATGGCAGG